ACCTACAGAGCAACCAACAGAGCACGTGTTCGAACACGCACCATCAACGGCAACATGGCCAGCGGTGCCGTACCACCCGCCCCATTCAACCCAGAAACCGAAGACTGGGAAGCATACATGGATCGGTTCCAGATGTTTCTGGAGACCAACAATTTGAAAGATGCAACAACCGGCAAAAAAAGAGCTATCTTTCTAACTCACTGCGGGCCTACCGTGTTTAAAATGGCAAAGTCACTTGCCAAGCCAGCAGAGGTAAAAGAGATGGACTGGGACGTCCTCGAGCCTTTACTACGGGCTCACTACGCGCCCACCGTGCCAACCTTAGTCAGAAGACACGAATATTACCAGAGGGATCAACGGAAAGGCGAAAGCCTTGCCAATTACATCGCGGACCTCCGCAACCTTGGAGGCCTCTGCGGATTCGCAGACTTAGAAGAAGCCCTCCGGGACCGCCTGGTTCTGGGCCTAGAAGACGGCACGATCCAGAGTAAAATTATGGCTAAGGGGGACATCAGCCTCACCGATGCCCTTAAAGAAGCCTCGGCAGCAGAGGCGACCAAGAAGTCGGCAGGCCGAATGCACCGCACCAACGCACCGCTACGTAAACTCGCCACTGATACCTCGCCTCGCTCAGAGAGACACCCGGTATCAACTCACCACGAAGACCTAGAGTCCCCGTCCGACAGCGATGAGGAAGAGGTCAACCGACTTCGAACGGAGCGAGACCAGTCCACACAACACTCATTTTGACCGTGCGCCGGCTGTGGAGCCAATCACCCATGATCCGGCTGCAAATTCCTCGACGCACTCTGCTGAAATTGCGGGAGACGAGGTCACATCGCAAAGGTTTGCAGAAGCAAACAGAACTCCAAACCCCGACAGGCCGAATGCCAGTCTTCAGGATTCTTCGGCACACACCGAGAAAAATTGAACCACCAATGGGGAAACCACTCCTACAGAAACAAACCGTCCACCACTTCCACCAGGCGCGAAGAAACCAGGCGGGAAGAGACCCACCAAACAATCACCATAGGCCACGCTACATCCCTTGATGCCGGGAAAATCCGAGTAAAGGTCGCCATCGAAAACAAACCTTGTGTGATGGAAGTGGACTCGGGATCTTCCCTCTCGATGGTATCGTGGAAAACGCTACAACAGCTCATTCCAACGATTCGCCGCCAAGACCTTAACCCTCAAAGGGTTATACTCAAAGACTATCAGGGTAACAGAATTCCCGTTGTCGGGTCCCGCAGATTCCAGGTCTCATTCAAGGACCGCACCGTCGCACTACCACTGACTGTCGTGGACCGCGACAGGCCTAGCCTTTTAGGCCTTCAATGGTTCAGACCGCTCGGAATCACTGTAGCCGGAGTCCACAGGGCCGAGAGCAGCGATTGGGAGGAAGCACTCGTGCAAGAATTCCAAGACGTTTTTGCGAACGGACTAGGCAAGTACAAGGGGACCCCGATCTCGTTTAACTTGAACCCTGAGATAGCACCCATCCGCCTTAAGCCGCGTCGGGTGCCGTTCGCCCTGAAGCCTAAAATCGACGAACAACTCGATAAGCTAATAGCGCAGGGCGTACTGGAACCCACCGACCACGCCCGTTGGGAAACCCCGATAGTGACGCCTATCAAGCCTGATGGGTCCCTGAGAATTTGCGGAGACTACCGGGCCACCTTAAACCACGCACTGCAGCAAAGTGCATATCCAGTGCCGGTAGTGCAACACTTGCTCCATTCCCTGGGTGGCGGGAAAGTTTTCGCCAAACTAGATCTAGCCCAGGCGTATCAACAATTGCCTGTAGACCCAACCACAGCCGAGGCGCAAACGATCGTAA